CGCTCTCGCGAGCTCTCGGACTCTTTTTATTCATTTTATTTTGAATTTAAATAATTAAATGGACAATTTTATGAATAAAATTAACTTTTATTCTGTAGTTACAGCAGAAACGCGGGAGCATTTCCGCTGTCTGCGCAAGTCGAGTGTACGTACACTCGAGCCGCCGCGCCCGGCGGCCGAGTTGCAGAAACGCCGCCAAAACGCGTCGAAAAATTGGATTTTCAGCGGCGAAAAAGCTGGAATTGAGGAAAGAAAGATGAATTATAGATTGGAAATGGAAAAGCGTTTGAAAAAGGGGGAAAAAAGAGGCAGATCAGACCCAAAGCGGCTTCGGACAGCCCGGCTCATCTCGCGGCTGGTCGAGTTGTCACTCGCGGTCCAAGTGTCGGTTTTTTCTCGTTTTTGACTTCAAATTCTTCTTTATTTTCTCCTTTTTCCTTTCCCTTTCCTTTATTTCCCTTTATTTTGGCGTTTTTTCCTTTTTCGCGGAGGCGCGGCCGGGCGTTTGGGCGGTGTCGCGGCTGGGGTGTACGTACACCTGGCGTTTGCGCTCGATTGGCGGATTCGCGGGGCGTTTGAAGGCTCATTTAATGTTTATTTGGGATTTATTTGCGTTATTGGAGTTTATTTTTGGAAAGTTTGGCGAAAAGGGGAAATGGAAGACGAGACGCAGTTCGAGTTGCTGGCGAAGTTCGTTTTTCAGCTGTACGACCAGCAGCAGCGGGGGGAAGTCTCGCCCGCGGCGCTGGGGTGTATGCTGAGGTCTTTGGGCCAAGTTTGGAGTTTTGGAGAACTTTTGGAAGTTATAAAAGCCCAAGGAGAAAGACAAGTTCGTTTTGCTGCTTTCTTTGCTGCAGCAAAGCAAAAGCGCGCAGCAGAGCGCAAGGCGCTGGCCGCAGCAGCCCGCAGCAGCAGCAGCAGCAGCAGCAGCAGCAGCAGCAGCAGCAGCAGCGTGCCCGGGCTTTCTGCGCAGGAGCAGCAGGAACTTGCTGCTTGCTTCCAGCTGCTGGACCCCGAAAAGTGCGGCCTCTGCAGCACAGAAGAATTAAAACATCTTTTAATTAATTCTGGAGAAAAAATAAATCCCAAAGACTTTTATTTGCTGCTGCAGCAAGAGGGCCTCGCGGGCAGGGCCTTTTTGTCCTTCCCAGACTTCGCCAGGCTCTGCGCCAGGACCCGCTTCCCCCAAACCCTAAACCCTAAACCCTAAACCCTAAACCCTAAACCCTAAACCCTCAGCCCTAGCGCTCGACAAACCCACAGCTCCCACGCACTGCGCAGCAGCCACATGCAGCCACCAAGCCAACGCAAGACAGAGCTTCAGGGCCTAGGGTTTAGGGTTTAGGGTTTAGGGTTTAGGGTTTAGGGTTTAGGGTTTAGGGCTTAGGGTTTAGAGACTCAGGGAGAGCAGCTGGAGCTGCGTGTACACTTGAACGCTTTGGAACAATGGAAAGAAATAAAAAAGAAATAAAATTAAAAAGCAAACGGAGACAACTTATTTAAAACAAAATAGCAGCAGCAGCAGCAGCAGCAGCAGCCGCAGCTGCTGCTGCTGCTGCTGCTGCTGCTGCTGCTGCAGCGCCTCCATTAAGGAGGCGCTGCATAGAAAAATGTTTCTAAGGCCTAATGTAGCAGCTGCAGCTGCAGCAGCAGCAGCGGAAGCAACAGCCGCCACAGCAGAACAGCAGCAACAGAGATGGCAGGCCTGCTGCTGCTGCTGCAGCTGCTGCTGCTGCTGCTGCTGCTGCTGCCGCTGCTCTATTTAATTAAATGCCTTCACATTCAGTCATCCTTCGTTTTTTATTGTCCGTCTTGCAGCAGAAACTGTAGCTGCTGCTGCTGCCGATCTTGCTGCTGCTGCTGCTGCAGATCCGGTTCTGCTGCTGCTGCTGCTTGTGTTGCTGCTGTTGCGCCCGCATTGTTCGCATGTTTGCTGTTGCTGCTGCTGCTCATATGTGTTTTCCTTCTTATTGTGGTTTTTTCTGCTGCTGCAGTTGCTGCTGCTGCTGCTGCTGCTGCTGCTGTCTGTACACCCCGTGGTCACCTAATGGTTCTCTGCTCCAGAGTTTTGTTGAGGGGAAAGAAAACAAAAGAAATTAAAAATAAATAAATTAAAAATTAATTTAAAATTAATTGATTTAATTCTTTTTAAAGAATCTACGAAAACAGCGCAGCAAGCACAATTTTGCTGCCGCTGCCACTGCTGCTGCTGCTGCTGCTGCTGCTGCTGCTGCTGCTGCTGCTGCTGCTAAAGCTGCATCCTGCATGCAGCAGCAGCAAAATTTGTCTTGTTGGAGTTTTATTTTCTTATTTGAATTTCTTAAGTTATAAAAAGAGAAAATATAAAACACAAAAGCAGCCCAGGGTCACTTTGTGGGCTGGCTAGCAGCAGCAGCAGCAGCAGCAGCAGCAGCAGCAGCAGCAGCATCGAGGATATCGGGCCTAGACATTATTCAGCCCTATCCTCTCCCTGTTTATATATTTACTGTTGCGGACATATTTGCTGCTGCTGCTGTTGCGGGACCTGCAGCAGCTGCTGCTGCAGCCATACACAGGAGCAGCAGCAGCAGCTGCAGCAGCAGCAGCAGCAGCAGCAGCAAGCGTGTCTCGACGGTAGACACCGCGCTTCCCGTGCACTCTTAGCAGCAGCTGCTCAACGGAGTTGGGTTGTTGCTGCTATTGCTGCTGCTGCTGCTGCTGCGAGTTCTACCAGCAGCAGCAGCAGACACACAGCAGCAGACACACAGCAGCAGAATCGATTGACCCACGCTGCAGCAGCAGCAGCAGCAGCAGAAGCAGCAGCAGCAAGGATCTCAGCCAGCGCAGCATCTGCTGCTACCGCAACCAGAACAATTATTGTTTCAACGGCAGCAGCAACAACAGCAGCAGCAGCAGCAGCAGCAGAAACACAGCTGCAGACTTTTCCCCCATCCAGCAGCAGCAGCCGCAGAAGCAGCAGCAGCAGCAGCAGCAGCAGCAAGAATCAAACCAATTGAAATAGCACCTTCTGCTGCACATCAGCAGCCACAGGAGTTGCAGCAGCAGCAATCGCAACAGCAGCAGCAGCAGCAGCAGCTATCGAAACAGCAGCAGCAGCAATCGCAGCAGCATCAGCAGCAACGGCAGCAGCAGCAGCAGCAACTGCAACAGCAGCAGCAACAGCAGCAAGATGGGCAGCAGGTCCTCTTCACTCAGGGCTAACTCTGGAATCCCCTATTCGAAGAAATCTTTGAGGGACTCTACAAAGCAGCAGCAGCAGAAGCAGCAGCAGCAGCAGCAACAGCAGCAGATCCAGCAGCAGCAGCTGCTGCTGCAGCAGCTGCAGCAGCAAGAGCAGCAGCCGCTGCGTTTTGAAGGCATAAACAAAATTTATTACCTTAGCCACAAACCTCTGGGCAAGGGCTCTTTCGGGTAATTAAAATAAATAAATAATTAATTAATTAATTAATTAATTAATTAATTAATTAATTAATTAATTAATTAATTAATTAATTAATTAATTATTAATTAATAATGAATAAATAAATAAAAGCCTGCGGATGCGAATCGTCTTTTGTTTTATTTTTTTGTCTTCCGTCAAATCAGCAGCTGCTGCAGTAGCTGCAGCAGCAGCAGCAGCAGCAGCAGCTGCTGCTGCTGCTGCAGCAGCAGCAGTAGAAGCAGCTGCGACAGCAACACCTACAGCAGCAGCATCTGCTGCAGCAGCAGCAACTGCGGCTCTAGCAGCAGCAGCAGCTGCAGCAGCAGCAACAGTGAAAGCAACTCCAGCGGCCGCTGCAGCAACTCCAGCAGCAGCAGCAACTGCAGCAGCAGCAGCAGCAGCAGCAGCAGCAGCAGGACGTGCGTGTTTGCTGCAGGCTAGTTTTGAAAGGAACAGAAAAAAAAACAAAAAAAGAATTTGCAATTAAAGTTGTAAATAAACAAATTTTAAAAACTCAAAACCTCGAAGCCCTTTTTCAAACTGAAGTCCAAATCGTCAGCCAACTCAGTGAGACACAAACCCTAAACCCTAAACCCTAAACCCTAAACCCTAAACCCTAGACCCTCAACACCTCCTAGACCTGAAATCCTAGACCCTGAGTCCTAAACCCTGGCTGGACCCAAACCCTAAACCCTAAGCCCTAAACCCTAAACCCTAAACCCTAAACCCTAAACCCTAAACCCTAAACCCTACAAAACCCTAAACCCTAAACCCTAAACCCTAAACCCTAAACCCTAAACCCTAAACCCTAAACCCTAAACCCTAAACCCTAGACCCTCAACACCTCCTAGACCTGAAATCCTAGACCCTGAGTCCTAAACCCTGGCTGGACCCAAACCCTAAACCCTAAGCCCTAAACCCTAAACCCTAAACCCTAAACCCTAAACCCTAAACCCTAAACCCTAAACCCTTATTTGTGTTTTTCTTTTTCAGGACATCCCAGCATAATTAGCTTTTATGGAAGCCACGAAGATGAAAAATACTATTACGGGGTCAGCCAGCTTTTTATTTATTTATTATTTATTTATTTATTTATTTATTTATTTATTTATTTATTTATTTATTTATTTATTTATTTTGTTTTATTTTTAGGTTTTTGAACTTTGCGGGGGAAGAAATCTCTTTGGCGAAATTTGCCGTTGGAATTCTTTTTCGGAATTTGAAGCTGTTGGACTTGTGAAGTGAATTTTAATTAATTTAATTTAATTAATTTAATTTAATTTATTTAATTAATTTAATTTAATTATTTAATTTAATTAATTTGATGTAAATAAATACAAAGGGGAATTAATTTGCTTTCCGTCTTGCTGACTTTTGTTTGCTGGACAGGGTTTTCGGGTTAGGCTTTAGGGTTTAGCGTTTAGGGTTTAGGGTTTAGGGTTTAGGGTTTAGGGTTTAGGGTTTAGGGTTTGGGGTTTGTGGTGTTTTTGAGATGTACAGACAAATGCTGTCCGCCGTTAAGTACATGCACGAGAATGGCTTTGTACACAGAGACATAAAAGTAAGAAATAGCTAGGGT